CTCTGCTGGTATTTTCAGTCCTTACAATTACTCCCATCTCAAAGACAGTCTCTTTTACAACTCAGGGACAAGGACACTCTCTAGTACCTTAAACATCACTTGCAAATATGTTACTTGTTTAGGACTAGAACTGTTTTGTTTGTTTTGTTTTTGACTTGCTTTTTTTTTTATTGGATATTTTATTTATTTAAATTTCAGATGTTATCCCCTTTCCCCATTTCCTACCTTCTCCCCGGAAACCTCCTATTCCATCCCCCTTCCTCCTGCTTCTATGAGGGTGTGCCCCACCCACTCACCCACTCCCACCTCCCCACCCTCAAATTCCCCCACACTGGGGCATCCAGCCTTCATGGGACCAAGGATTTCTTCCCCCCACCTATGCCTGACAAGGCCATCCTCCCCTACATATATATACAGCTGGAGCCATGGGGCTCTCCCTATGTGCTTCCAGACTGGCAGTTTAGATCCTGGGAGCTCTGGTTGGTTGGTATTGTTGCTCTCCCCATGAGGCTGCATGCCCCATCTGGGTATCTATCCCATGTGCAGTCACCAAACAGAGATGCTGTTGTGGATGCCAGGAAGTGCATGCTGACAGAGCCTGATATAGTTGTCTCCTGAGAGGCTCTATCAGAGCCTGACATATACAGAGCTAGATGCTCAAAGCTAACCATTGAGCTGATCATGGGGTTCCCAATGGAGGAGTGAGAGAGAAGACTGAAGGAGCTGAAAGAATTTGTCACCTCATGGGGAGAGGGTTTTTTGTTTGTTTGTTTATTTGTTTGCTTGCTTGTTTTTTAAGGAAGTATTCCTCTGTATAGCCCTGGCTGTCCTGGAATTCACTCTATAGACCAGGCTGGCCTCAAACTCAGAGAAACACCTGTCTTTGCCTCCCAAGTTCTGGCACTAAAGCCATGCATCACCACCCCCAGCAAGACTCAAATAGCAATTCTTTGTATTAACTTACACCACAGCTTTATAAAATTACAGTCTTTCAAGTGGTAGGTGCTCCATATCTTTGAGGAACCTAAGTGGGAAGACAGTAGTGTCTGTCTTGACTTTCTCAGCCTCTCATACTGAAGAACCTCCTTCTGAGGCACCGAGGGATGTAGTAACTGATCAGGATTGGAGCTTACATTCCACACGTATCCTCACAAAGTGTGATGTGTTGGCTAAGCCTTTGCACTTAGACATAACCAGCAGCTGGGCATCTTTGATGCTCTTTCTTCTTAGACTTTCCGATTGTGCTTTTGTTTTGGCGACTAGGCTTCACTTCTATAGTTGGTCATTGTATACAGGCAGAATCAACATGCTAGCTGGAAGTAGTGCAACACACCTCTGACTCATAGATCTCAGATGCTCTGATACACATTGCTATGTTCTCTTATCAACCTACTCAGTGCAGTAATTGGAATCTGAATATGATGAAGCTCATCACTGGAGAAAAGTTAAATGCTTAAAATGTAAATAAATAGCTTTATTTTCAGCCTTTACTACTTACAGGGTATGTAGAATGGCAGTGCGAGGGGCTGCAGGAGACTTCTGTAGATTGGACAGTGGGAAGCTGGTACTGCTTTCAGTGCTATTTGTCAGTCTGTGTCACTACTGAAATACTTCTTTGTGAAGGAGCAGGTTATTTAGTGCATCGTCTGGGAGGTTCATAAACCATAGCATGGCACAGACTGTGTGGTATGGGGCATCCCCTCATGGCACAGAGTAATAGCTACAGGAACACAGAGTTGACTTCCAAGCAGAGGTAGAGGCTCAGAGACCACTGTGGAGGAGGGGGCAGAAAGACTCTTAAGAGCAGAGGTGGAAGATGACTATATGGGCATTGTGTTTTCTGGATACAGTTAGAGGTCCCAAGCTTGTTCTTTTATAACAACCCTCTCTTGTGAGAACTCAAGGTGTCAGGTGAGAAACCACCTCAAAGTATGTCTCCAGGGACCTCTTAATGTGTCCTCCTTCCCAGAGGTTCCCCTCGTAGCACCATCACGGTGCAGGCAGATACTTTAATCACAGTGGACTGGTGGAAATACCCATGCAATCCTGCTTGGAGCTTGCTCTTAGAAGGAAAGCCATTTGTAAAGCTAGTTTTGTTCATGCGGATGGCACATGTTTGGGATGAGAAATAATTGTCTTCTTGAGCCAAATGGCTTTGGAACTTTTTAAAAACATGTTTGTTTTGGAAAAAAATTGAATTCATGATGATATTTTCCAAGGAAATTGTGTCATGTATTTTTCTCATAGTATTTTCTTTATCCTCTGTTGCCCTCTCTCCTCTCTTGCTGGTCCCCCCCTACACACACACAAGTTAGTCGCCCTTCTGCTTTCAAGTCACAGGAGAGAAAACACGTGATATTTATCTTTCTGAGTGTAGCTAATTTTTCACAGTGTGAAGATCTCTGGGGGAACTAATTTCAACTTTGTTTTAAGTTTTGTCACATTAACAGAATTAATTGTGCTGATTTTGTGTGATCTGAACATTTAGGACACATTACAGCTTCAATTATTATAGTGTAAAAAGTAGCTAAAAATTCTATATACTATATAAGTAATGCTAAGTTAGGGAGATTTAAAGCAGTTTAATGTTGTGTGCTTTAGAAATGTTGACAAGTTTATATGATTTTAAATTTAAAAACACAGAGAGCAAAATTCCACATGATTTACTTTTTAAGTGTTTTTGTTAACTCTTTGAGATTTTATACATTATATTTTGTTCAGATTCCTTAATCCTCACCCATCTCTTCCCAGATCAAATCCCCATTCCTTCCCGCCCTACTTTGTGTTTTCATTTTTCTTTCTTTGTAAGAAAAACACTGAGTCCTGTTAGTGCTGCCTATATAGTCTTAGGTAGGCACGTGGCCATTTGCTGGAACATCAGACCTACAAGGGCCAGACTCTTCAAAAGCCAACTCTGTGTTTTCTGCTAGCCATTAACAACCAGTAGCTCCTCAGTTAGAATTGAAACTTCATGCCCACTCCCCACTCTGACTCCATGATGGGTTTGGAACATGCTGAGCTTGTACAGGTCTGTGCATGTAGCTACAACCTCTGTGAGTTCATATATGCAATTGTCCTCTTACATCTAAACCACATGTCCTTATAATCATCTACCACCTTTGCTGTTACAGTCTTTCTCCTCCTCTTCTGCAGTGATCCCTGAGCCTTGAGAGGAGGTTTTGATATAGTTGGATTGTGTGATATATAGGACTAAGCATTCTGTAATCATTTATTTTCTGAACTTTAACCAACTGTGGGAATCTGTGTTAATCACCATCAAATGCCAAAAAGGTATCTAGGGCTGGAGAGATAAGTCAATTTTCTAGGGCTGGAGAGATAAGTCAATAGTTAAGAGCTTTGCTGACCCATGTTTGGTTACAAGCAAGTCAATAGATAAGAGCTTTGCTGACCCATGTGTGGTTACAAGCACCCATATGATAGCTCACAACCACCTGTAAACTATGGTTTCAGAGAGATTTGATGCTCTCTTCTGGTCTCTGTGGGCACTGTACATATGTAGTATACTTAACATATATCTAGGCAAAATACCAATACACATAAAATAAAAATAAATAGGTCTTTTAAAAAAAGAACATTTTCTGATGGGGTTTGAGAGATGTAGTAATCCGTGGGTATAATGAGAAGTAGTTAGGAGTTGGCTTAATATTATATATTATTAGCAGACTAATAGGATGTCCTATAATTTGGATAGCCACAGGTTCTTGCTCCTGATGTCTGTGCCACCATGGGTTTTTATCTTGTGCAGAGGGCCTTAAGTCCAAACAGAAAGTGATTGGTTACTTCTGTGGCATCCATGCCGCTATTGCATCAGTGACCATATCTTACCAGGCGCATTGTCACTAAAGTTTGCATGGTTCACATTAGATAAGGCTAGATTGCTTTTCTCCTCTAGTAGCATGCATATCACCCTCCCTGCATTAGGAATGGTAGCCAATGGGGATGAGTCTTTCCTCTAGGCCAGTACCAGCTTTATTTCTACACGTTTTTGGCTCAAGTATATGATGCCTATAGCAATAGGGGTCTTACTGTCAAATTTTGGAGAGTAACCAAGAACAATGACAATTAGTAGGTAATATTTGGGATCTCTGGGACCTCATTGGCTAACAACTTCAATAGAGGTAACATATTTCTAACACTGGGCCTTTTATTTGTTAGCTGTAGTATCTAGTAGAGTCATTGTTGCCCCATTAGACGGTGCCTTCATTAAAGCTCTTTTTATATATGTATGTTTATATTTTAGGAAGCTTATGCAGTAGTAGATTTTCATGACTGTTTTTAGAAGGTCTTTTGTGTGAGTTATCTCTCCCTGTATTCCCTTTTTTACCCCCAGCCCTCCCATTCCAGACCCCATTTAACCTTTCTTATTCCATAGTCCCCCTTGATGTCACAGCATCCTATTTTCCCTTCCCTGAAAGCCCCACTTCCCAATGGCCCCTTACTAATTCCTGATCTCTGCGGTTATTCCAAATGAGACCTACACATCTGAAGATTCAGTGCTAACATTTATCTGTTTATCTTTCTGGGTCAGTATTTTCTCACTCAGCTGTTAATAAAATGAAACTAAAATTTACAGGTATGTGGTTGGAGCTGGAAATAATTATTCTGTAGATTTATTTTTGGTTGTTTTTCTCTCTCACAATAGCTTTAGTTGCCAGATTTCTAATTGGAAGCTCATTTCTTCTTGCTTTTCACTGGGGACCTCATTAGTTATGCACACTCAGCATGTCCTGTCTCTCCGTAGAACTGCTCTGGCATTTGGGCAAGCTGAGCCAAAACTCAATGTGGAGACAATCTAGCTCAGTCTTGAGATGTTTGGGTTTCCTATTACTTCCCTGTTAGGGATTCTGCAAGTAAATACTTACAGTAACCCTTTGAATGACTTTAGCTATCGGTCATGGCTTCTTTAGGAGTAAGGGCCCCTACAGTAAATTCCTGTCAATAACTTTGCTCACTGTATTACTATGTTACTTTGTCCCCAGCTGATAAGGCTTTTCGAGACATGAAGGTGCTCAAAATGAGCCAGTCTATCATTGTATCTGGAGAATCAGGAGCTGGCAAAACAGAAAATACAAAGTTTGTTCTAAGGTGAGTATTTAGCTAGTCTGAACTGTTTTGAGCAATTAGACATTTTCACAGTTAAAAAATGTGTGACACTGAGTTTGTTGACTTACACATTTAGAAGTTCAGTGTAAGCATATTTGCATCATCACATTCATGTCATTGTGTTGTCTATATTCTTTATGTCACAAGACTGACAACTGTCTTCATTAAATACCTCCAGGTTACTCCCCCAGATGCTGTTAACCACTGTTCTCTTTTCAGTTCCTATGATTTTTTCTAAGTACCTTGTTTAAGTGGCATTGTATTGTATTAATATTTCAGTGACTTCTTTATTTCATTTAAGCTCAATATGTGATTCATTCATGTCTAAAATGATTAGAGTGAATGTGGCTATATGTACACACACACACACACACACACACACACACACACACACACAGAGCTTCTTGGGAGATTGAGATAGGAAGATCACTTTAGTCTCAAAGGAATGGGAGCCTAGAGAACTTAGTAAAACACTGCCTTTTAAAAAACATACTCTCCCATGTTATAGTATGCATTAGAATTTGCTTCTTGAAATTTAGGGCTGAATATAATTTTATTGCATGGATCTATTGCATTTGCTGAATATTTACATGTGTTGATAGACACTTGGATTGTTTCTGCCACTTGGCTATTGTGAATACAGTTCGAGGTGATGACAGGGTATTTAAGTAAATTAGCTTTTAATACCATTGCCTACCTCATGGTATAGTTTGGAGGAAATCAACATCTCATGTGGTAGCTAATCTCTACATTGTAAAAAAAACCACCTCTGATGTGTTGTTTATCTGAGGATTCCATAGGTTAGGCAATCAGAAACCCAAAAATATTCCTTCAAAATCCAAATGGACATTCTATTCTTCATGTTGGTGCTATGAAATATTTTCAAAATGATTTTTTATTTAGACTTCTTCATATCTCATCTCTCATCAGATCCCCTTTTCTACCGTCAAATTAAACTCTCAACACTTGATATGCAATCATGACATTTAAAAAGCGAAGGAGCCTTACCATAGGACCGTCATTTTGTTCTGTTAATTTAAATACTATAAATCGTATCACTGCTGTGACAAAATGTCAGACAAGAAGTAATTAAGAGAGGAAGGGTACAAAGGTGAAAATTCACAGTGGTGGAGAAGGCATGTTGGCCAAGGCTGGACATACTGCATCCACAGTCAAGAAGCAGAGGAGAACGAGGGAGTGTTTATGTTTAGCCTTAGCTCTTCTCTATGTGGTCCAGGACCCCAGCAAATGGAACGTTGTCACTCACAGTCATGGTGGGTCTTCCTACTTCAATTAACCTAATCTATACCAATCCCTCACAGATGTGGGTGTAGATCTGTCTTCTGGAACCTGTCTTCTAGATGATTCTGGGTCCCATTGAGTTGACCAGTGTGAACCATTCTACATATCCAATGAAGTTAAATCTAATGGTGAAGATACTGTTAAGACCAGCACATTATGAATTTTTATCAGAATTGTTTCTAATCTATTGTACTTCTTAGGTTTTTTGTTTGTCTGTTTTGGTTTGGTTTGGTTTGGTTTTTGAGACAAGGGTTTCTCTGCATAACAACTCTGGCTGCCCTGGAGCTCACTCTGCTTACCAGGCTGGCCTTGAACTCACAGAGATCTGCCTACTTTTGCCTTCTGAGTGCTGGGATTAAAGACATGTGCCACACTGCCCAGCTGAGTTCTTAGTTTTTTCATAGCGGGGTCCTTTATGAAAGCTATTTATTTGTTATGTAAATGTATGTAGTTATTAAGTTAAATAGTTATTAAGAGATACTTATATAAATCTATTTAAAGAATTTGTTAAAATCAGAATATTTTCAAACAGCTAACAAATGTAATTTCATGACATGCACATGCCCATATAAGACACGTACAGAAACATAAAAAAAAAATAAAAATTTTAAAACATTACCAAACAGTTACATTTATGATCCATGTTTTTTTTTTTTTTTTTTTTTTTTTTTTTTTTTTTTTTTTTT